AGACATAAAAATATTTGTTACTATTACTTTTGGTTTTATTTACTCTTGAAACAGTACACTTTCGGGGATCCTGCGGAAGTACATCTAGTATGTTTGATACTTACAATAGAATGAAAACATTGTAAAGTAACGGTGAAATACCATAGTATGGCTACTAAGTCGGTTCTGTACTCATTCTTGGTGATATTGTAAAGTAACAGTGTTATGCCTCCATGTATGTAATGTATAATGTCAATACCTGGGACAGGTGACCTTAGTATATAACTACGAGGTTACGTCGATCATTGGCAGGCAACGATCCAGCATTGCAAGTTACCTCGCCTGAGGCGCAAATCGTCGTCTTCCGCTATCGAGCATTTAATGTGAGTGGAGGTAATATACGTTTTTCAGGATGCTTCCTAGGGTGAGTGTGGTCTTTCCTTTGTTCTTCACCTGATAACGAGTCGTTTAAGATATGTTGAACGTGTCTTACGTCCTTTTCTTTTCAGTAGTCACTAACATGTGTTTCCTTTCTAAGAATAGTGCTCGAAAGAAAACAGGGTTCTTTTAAAAGTTAGCGTATTTCTTATCTCTACTACATAGATTTAGAACTTATTGAAACACCTGTTATTTAGCAGTATCTAGTGTACGAACCCAGATGAAAATACATTTATTAAAATTGCGAAATATGAATTCAAAGTCCTATTGATATCTCACTTTTACGTGTATTCAAGTCTATTCAAGAATGCGATTTTCTGAAGTGTCTAGTTTATATCTTTTTGATTAAAGAACATATCGAGCGACTCTATGAAAACAGGTCGTTACTTTATTGTGGCCCCCCCAGTGGCACAGCGGTATGTCTGCGGACTTACAACGCTAAAAACCGGGATTCGATACCCGTGGTGGGCAGAGTACAGATAGCCCATTGTGTAGCTTTGTGCATAAATTCAAACAAACAAATACTTTATTGTTAAGGAACAATGTAAGAAAAAGCTCTCATCACGTGCAACACCAGCTCTAATTTAACGTATCACAACAAAACTAGATCAACAAAGTTCACTGTAATTTTTCAAGTTAAGTATCTCCATCAAGAAAAAAACTATTCAGTTTTTTTTATAACCCCTCCCTGTACTGTGAGTGAGGTAAACATAAACCTGCTCCAGTTTCTTCAACTGTAATATACCATGCATTCGAGAATACAAAATATTCTACATGAACTACAAAATTGTAATTTAATTTATATCATTAATTCGAGCTAAATACGGTAGGCATGTATTAAAATAATAATATCATTATGTGAGCGTATACTATGATATTCATAACATTAACTGACATAATAGTTTAATTATATGAATTTATATAATGTATTGGTGTTACCATCTAATATTATATGATGGTGGTATGATATTTTACGATGTAATACGATGGTGTTATGACCTTAGATAATACGATGATAGTTTATAATCTTATAAAGCTTGGTCTTTCTATTTATGGCATAACCTTTATGTTCAACTTACTATTTCCGTGATGTAGGTACATGACGTTTTAACGACGTAGGAAACCAAACGAATACAAGTGTAAACACTTAT